CTCCTCCTGCCCTCCCCTCCTTCTCATCTTCCTCCGGTTTCCTTTCCTGTTCTTTTTTTCTTCTTTCTCTTCTTCTTCTCTTCTTGGCTTTTTGAGACAGTAATCCTTGCTATCTGGAACTCACTATGTAGACCAGGATTACTTTGAACTCAGAGAGATCCTCCTGCCTCTGCCTCCCAAGTGCTGACATCAAAGGTGTGCACCACTATGCCTAGCCTAAAGCTTCTTGACGTGAATTAAGAGAAAAACACTTATGGGTATTGTCTCAACTCCATCTACCCTCTGCTTGTTCCCTCAGATGGCCCAGAGGCTAAGCATTTCTACAAACCTATAGGGGTTCAGCACAGAGAGAAGTGGGTTTTGAGAGAGAGAGAGTGGCTATCACATACCTCTGTCTTGGCTGCCACCTGTGTCCGGCTCCAATATCTAGAAAACAACACCCAGATGCCACAAACCAAGAAACTAAGTACAATAAGGCTGAGATGGTCCAGCAGTGGGATAGCCAGCCCCAACATCGTCTCCATTACTCAAGCATCTCAACTGAAGAGTCTCTGTCTCCAGAATATCTCCATATGACATCACAATAGACACTTCAAGGTAAGGCCAGTCATTGTGCACTCAGCTCAAGTCCTCTGCAAGAGCATTCAGTGCTCTAACCTTTGAACCATCTCCCCACTCTTCACATTGTATATAACTTCAGTATACTTGTCAAGACCATGAGATTAAAATGGGAGGTGGAGGATCCAGAATCAAAGGGCATCCTTGGCTACACTGCAAAAAACTTATCTCAATAAAGTGAAAACATGAGTGCATTTACTCCTAACTCCAGCCTTCACTAGCATCTCATATTTTCCCACCAGTGTTCAGGATCCAATCTAGAGCACCATGTTGCTGGAGGCTCAACCCAGAGTCCTCTGAGTCGTAAGCGAGTGTTCTATCACTACACCAAAAAAAAGAAAAGAAGTCCCTACGTTTGAGTCTCTGTGATGTTCTCTTTATGTGTAGACTGAGGGTCTATGTTTGGGCGGGGTAGGAATGGAGAACACACAGCAGTGGCCCGCTCATCTCATCCCAGCCCATCAAGAGGGACATGCTATCAATCTGTAACACTAGTGTCAAGCCATCTGTAGAGCGTGCATGCTGCATCTCTCTATCTGACGTTACTATTTCCTGTGCTCATACTTTGCTTCCAGAAGTGACCTAGAAATCTAACTCCTATTGGAGGTGTGGGCCTAGCATGATAAAGCCCCATCTCCTGGAGAAGTCATATGACACATTCTACTTGAAATTCTTGAGTAAGAAAGATTTGCCACCCCTGTCACCACTTTCTATTTGTTTATTTATATTTATTGGTGTCGATGCACGTAGACTTGTTTTGTACTTTGTGGTATGGCTCAATGCTATCCTTCATTTTCTTGCTTGGTTTTTCCAGCTTTATCTGTGTGAAGCTCTTCTTGCCTGCTTGCTTTTTATACCTCATCATTGTAGGTATAAATTTTTTGCAGCCTAGTTTTTTCCCTTCCCTTCTCCCTCTTGCTCTGGCCCCTGCTTGCTCTGGCCCAAAGGTTTATTCATTTATTTATTTATTTATTTATTTATTTATTTATTTATTTATTTGCTTGTTTATTATTTATTATATGTAAGTACACTGTAGCTGTCTTCAGATACCCCCTAAGAGGTCATCAGATCTCATTACAGATGGTTGTGAATCACCATGTGGTTGACAGGATTTGAACTCAGGACTTTTGGAAGAGCAGTCAGTGCTCTTAACAGTTTTGGCAGCCTATTTAAATAAATGTTCAACCTCTCCTCTTGCCAACCACACACTGGAGGTAGTGGAAGAGAAAAGTTACTAGGATACGGGGGATGTGTATCTGTTTAGTAATAGTTCTTTGGGAATGAGCTCAATCTTCTTTGGCAGCAGTTCAGTCCTGTGGCAAACACCAAATACAAACCAGCAGCTGCAGTCCAGACCTCTTGGTAGGCAGACACCATGCATGAACCAGCAGCTGTAGTTCAATCCTGAAGAAACTGCTAAGGGCTGGAGAGTGGCTGAGTGGCTCACTGGTTAAGGGCACTAACTGCCCTTCCAGAGTCCTGAGTTTAATTCTAGTAACCACATGATGGCTCACAACCACCTGTAATGAGGTCTGATGCCCTCTTCTGGCATGTAGGTATACATGCAGGCAGAATACTATGTACATAATAAGATTTAATAAGTAAATAAATATTTTAAAAAGGAGGAGGAGGAGCAGGAGGAGAAGAAGAGGGAGCGGGAGCGGGG